CGTCACTCTCCCTTCTGGCATCCACCCTATAGGCTCCTTTCCGGTTCAATGCCGTATGACAGGCATAGTCACCAAACGCGACGACACACAGAACCGCTGGAGACTTAGAAAGCTCTCCTGGCGCATCGAGGAAATCGAGACAGTGGTGTCTCCCGCATGTCCGAAGCATGGCGCCAAGCTCGGCGGCGAAGGCAAGGGCGTGCAACACGAAGCCCACCGCGATCTGGGTGCTGCAGAGATTAGGAACGGATTTAAGACCGATTTCGCCGATAATATGGTCGAAGGCGAATTTGAGGCGAGCTGTAATCTCACGAATGTACGGGAAGGTGGACGCGCTCAGTGCGATGTTGATTCTCCGAATGGGCTGAAGATCTCACATATCCTCGTCCTCGAGCTCGTTATTGCCGAGGAATGGGCGAGCAACAAGAAGCCGCAGTCTGCTACTCCGACGGGCGCGGCGAGAGTGCTGAGGACGCAGTTCAACTTGTGTGTGACGGAAAGGCAGGGCATGGGTATTGCGTGGAACGATGAGGAGCCGCCGTTGTACGAGGATGTGGAACCTGGACCACCACTGTACTTGCCGGACAGTCCGCCTCACTATGCGGCAGATCTGACGACTATGGAAGACTACACCGGGGATCTGCAAGAGCTTGGCGAGGACATCGGGGAGCTGAGGCTGGAGTAGGCTGAGGTTGATCTCGGACTTGAGATAGGACAATATCGTGAGTGGTGAGTGGGGCGGACAAGTTGTGGTAATCATGCTTTGTGCAGCGTAGGCGTTCTGCCATATCGAGGGAAGTGGGGTACAGATCAGGTGGGCGGATTCTTTGCCGATACCTGGCGGACGCGTGACGAGTATACCCAACTTCATTCTCAGCGATAGCAATAGTATGCATTATTCGATAGAGCGTACCGCATTGGTGCCAGAGCCGTACCCTTACACGAGCTCTAGCATGTCCGTCCGCTTTCTACCGCGATTGCACCCCAATGGGTGTACACCATCGTGAGCACAACTCCACACGTTGTGGCAAGTTCTATGTGTAATCGTTCGTTTTGGTCATCTCGTACAGCATAAGGTGGATCTCTCCACGAGGAGAAGTCGTAGTCTTCCCATGATGGTAGTCTTGTATGCTGACTTGCCTTCACTACTTCACAGCTTCCTTCGCTTGCGCAGCCAGGCAGGTTTACTACCATCGCGGCTGGCCATAAAACGTCGGGTCGTGGCGCTCCACGCAGGGATCGAACCTGCATTTTCGATGCAGGAGGTGGCACTGAGGGGTCGGTACTCATGATTGCTGAATGATTCAGAAGTAAGTGAGGAGTTGAGGAGCAATGAGCGCAGTAGCGGAGAGTGATGGGGAGAGAGAGAGGGATCGTGACTTGCAACGGCTCAGTCTAAGTACCTGCGTTGTAGGAAGCATGAGTACAGAAGGTTCCATCCTAGAAGCCTGACACAAGTTTGGTCACCTTGCCGCACTTCAAGAACCGTCTGCGACAAGCCGCACATGACACAAGACCATCATTCCAGGACTTGTGTGACAATCTCAGAAGCCACGAGTGAAGTCCATATTCTGCAGTACTGGCCAAAGGTGAAGCAAGCAAGACTGACCCCACTGATTGACTCGCGCGAACTTGGAAATGGAAATGATGCGTCTCCATATTCTCACTGGATGTCGGGCTGAATGACATAGACCATGCCAATGCAATTGACACAAAATAACAAAAATAACTGCTTGACCTACGCAGGGATCGCTGGAAAGATGTTAGGATGTGGGAGAGAAGATGAAGTTGATGCGGATTGAACTCACAACCTGCAATCTCTTGATTCGTAGTCAAGCGCCTTGCCATTGGGCCAGCAGGCCTGCTGCGAGTGATATTGCGATCTGATAACATATGATCTCTGATTGGAAGCCGACCATTAGAAAGTCCCCGATCCCCGACCTCGCTGACATGTCCTCAGATATCCAACGGTAAGGTAGCGCAAAACGATATTTCATATGTCGATGTCCGTTTCCTCGCTGCACAGTTTCTACCATGCTTTGCCAATCGCCGCTGCCATAGCATCTCTAGGGCTGGATCGATAACGATCCGCGTTTGGACTCGGTCGACGTCGCCCAGGATGCGGCGTACGACGAAGAAAGTTCTCGTCAACTTCTCTTTGTTTGGTCTGGCTTTGCTCTCCATTATATACCTGAACAGCAGCGGCCAAGGCTCCCGTAGGACTTTTGATTGGACGACGATCCGCTACCAAACGACCGGGCCAAGGCTGTCTGATGCTCATGGCGTTTGCCCAGGATTGGCAGCATCAGCCAAGGCCGCTCTTGTAGTTGCACGGGTGGCTGCAGATGGAGCCTCGAACTGGACCGCGACTCTTGCAGAACGATATCATCTTTGCATCTACACTGCGGACGAACAACCAAATGATGGATCAACGGTGCTTCGCGTCCCTACGAATCGCGCCCATGAAGCAATGCCATACTTAACATATATCATCGACAACTACGATGCTCTTCCCAAGGCTTCTGTCTTCGTTCACGGATCTAGATTCGCCTGGCATAACGATCACCCGGCTTACGACAATCTTCCTCTCCTGCGGGCGTTGGACGTCTCGTCTGCTCTAGCATCCACAGGATACCACAATCTGCGTTGCGACTGGAGTGCCAGTACTTGCCCTCCCTCGACAGCCCCACAAGGTAGCCTCGAGACAAGCATGAACGCGCGACTTGAGCCATGGAATCAACGTGCCGTGTCCGATGCTGCTCTGCCATTGGCCCTGCTGAAGCTCTTTGGCGATGGCAAAGACACTGGGTCGATTGCGCTCGGTCGAAACGATGCGGTACGCTCGCAATGCTGCGCGCAATTCGTCGTTGCTCGCGAGAACATCTACCAACATTCGCAGAATGAGTACGTTGCTTTACGACAATGGCTTCTCGATGATGGACTGAACAGTGCACCGAAAGACGATCGCATTGCTGGACGGGTGGTCAGCTATCTATGGCACGTATTGTTCTTTCCGAGAAACGCTTTTGCTCCACGCAGCTCGGCCGGGGTCCTTGAGGGGATCGATCTAAATCGGTTGAACGATATGGCTTGTCCGAGCGCAGCAGATTGCTACTGTAGGCTTTATGGAAGATGCGACTTACAACATTGTACGACCAAAGAGTCCTGTGTGGGGCAGTATGAAGTACCGAAAGATTTCAAGCTACCTCCTCAGTGGGCTGCAACGCATGGAGGGTGATGAAGCTTGAGAATGGGCCAGTGAGACGCGAACAAAGTCACAGTCTCGGATTTGGAAGTGTCGAACGATCAAGTCACATACTTGTCTGGATATCCTCTATAGCACACCGCAGGCTGCCAGCCAACCGTCCACCGAACGCTGCCCATGATTACGATCACGAGACACAGTGCTCCGACGATGCTCGACAGGGCGCAGACATAACCGTGTTTCTTCCTCATGCCACTGATCTCCGCCACCAATGTACTGACAGTAGTCAAACACCCACAGAAGCCGTCCTGCATGCCCTGCAGGACTTGACACCCGACCAAACCGCCACCTACAAGTCCGAAAGAGCCAATTCCGACTTGCTGGAAGTCGTAGAGCATGCCTTCAATGGCTGTGCCGAACATGTTCACTGCGAAGGTTCCGAGTGGGAATGAAGGAACGAGCGGATTGATCCTCACTGAGGTATAGTGGCGCAGCAGACAGCCTAACGGCGCGAAGACGATGGCGAATAGCACTGTGCCACGCCAAGTCTCGTTTGACCAATCGCCTCGAGAAGATGGACCGGACGGGCGATCTGGTGGGAAGATCGCTAGAAGTACGGCGCCTAGCCAGCAGACCCAGGCAAGGCTGACGATTACTGGATCGACGAAACGTCGGATCACGCGAGTAGATAGTCGAGGAGTCCAAGGCTCCAGTAATTGCGCTGTATGTGCGCCGACTATGAGACCGCCTAGTGACAGAGCCAGGGTCGAGATGATCACCGCAAACAGTGCATTGAACGAGTAGCCGGCATTGCGGCTAGCATTCGAAGTGTTAGTCACACGGGTCGTGCTATCGTATACATGATTGGTGGGTATCGGTAAGTTGTTTGCCAGAGCACCAAACATATCTCTAGCGAAAGAGGAGAAGGATGTGAACGATCCGCAGAAGCCACTTGCTATACCAACGTACAGAGGTATGGTTTTCTTGATCTTGCCAGTCTCGGCCTTCGTGAGCTTGTCGAAATCCGTTGATTTCTTCGACCATCGTTCGTGAGTAGTTTCTCCTGCCATCCTAGGTGCGCTCCAATAGCGGCTGAAGAGGTACTTGTCCTCGGCCAAGAACCCGAGCACAAACGAGCCTGCCATGTTTGCCCAGATCACGGGAGTGACGATTGGGGCGCCCGGGTAGAAGGCAATCCACTGTACTCCCAGGCGTGCCAACGTACCCCAGATAGCGAAGAACACCAGATAGGACACGGTACAAAATTCATCCCACCACCGGGATTGAGGGGGCGGACCTTGATGATCCTGCTTTGGCAGATACTCCTCCGGCTTTCTTGAAGTATAAGGAGGCTGGCTGAGCGATCCCTCGGATGGCATCGCTTGCAAGTCGTCGACTCCGCCCTGTCGTGACATTCTGTGATCGAACGTGGGCAGCGCAGTAGGCACAACATCGTCAATCGACCTCTTGCTGAAGTCCCCAGCGTCCGGGCCTCCATTGACGGGTCCTAAGGCGTATGGGTCATCTGCACTTGGAACATGTCGGAGCAGAGGCACTGGAGGTGCCTTCGTATGTCGGCTCAGAAAGGGATCCCGTTGGCTGGCACCGCTGTTAGGTCGTGAACGTCGCTCATGTCGTTGATCGGCGTAGTAGCTGCTTCGTCTGCTGGGTACACTGCCAGACCATCGGTTTTCCTGCTGCCTTGGCTGCACTGGAGTATCAGTCACCAGTGGCTTCGCCTCCGGTGGCGATGGGATTGGCCAGTCATCCATTTCGATGCTTTGACGTGCCATGTCCGGCTTTCAGTAGCAAGGTCTGCGCGTCCCACAAGGATGACAATCTGTCTCAATAACGTCGTGCATATTATCCTTCTAATCCAATCCTCTACAGCTCTACAGCTATTGAAAAAAACCGAGAACCGGATTCGGTAGATACAATGTCTTGTGCTACGGGTAGACAGGGGTGCCACACGACGGAGCTCCAGATCTAGCAACCGGCCAAAACGGAAGATCCCGAAAATCGCGAATTCGTGATTTT